TTAAAATATCGATTCTAGCAAAAACAATAAACTTTAACTTACTTCTTGGAACTTTGTTTCAGAGATGAAACATTTTCAACATTTTCGAGTAAACAACGTAATTTTGTTATATCTTCTCTTTTCATCCTTGATGCGAACAAGTTCCAGTGCGACGGTGTCGATGGTATTTAGGGTGACGTTCAGTGGCAACGAATTGAAAGTAGAAGGTGAATGGTTTTTGAAGAAAAAAATTGATTGGGATCGTGAGATAATTTCAAAGTATGTAAATAGAAAACATAAGTTTATGTAAAATCAACCGAAGAATATAAAAATTTGTTACATTAACTCATTATTCCATGGGCAAATTGAATAGTAGGGACTGCAGTGTAAATATTATGCAAATGTAGGGAGTGCAATGTCATTTATTAATCTGGAGGGACTGAATTTAAACATTTATTAACCGACAGAGATTTAAATCAAAGTCACCCTTCAATTAATATAATTTGATTCTTTATCTCAATATATATATCCCCGAATTGGGATTACAAATTCAGCAGCACAACACCTACTACTGTCTCACGTACTTAAAACACTTGGATTAGGTCAGCAGGGCTATATTAGATCATCTTCAACTCACTGCATATGTAGTGGGTTGTACAAAAAATAGGGGGAGGGGCTCCAACCCACCCCAAATACCCCCATATTTGCAGATATGCTCCACTCCATTTTTGGAGTGGAGTTTTTGTGGAGTTTTTATATTTTTAGTATTTTTTGGGGTGTATTGTGTAATTTTAATTTTTTAATAGATGATGTATAATTTTATATTTTAAAAAATTGCATGTAATTTTACTATTTTGAAAAATAATGTATAATTTTATTTTTTAAAAGTGATATAATTTTATATTTTGGAAAGTAATATATAATTTTATTTTTTAAAAAAATAATGTATAATTGTATTTTTAAATTGATATATAATTTTACTTTTTGGAAAGTGATATAATTTTTATTTTTTTTAAAAATAATGTTTAATTATATATTTTAAAAGTGATTGTAATTTTATTTTTTTAAAATGATATATAATTTTATTTTTTGAAAGTGATATGTAATTTTATTTTGTAAATTAACGTGTAATTTTATTTTGTAAAGAGTTATGTTTAATTTTTTATTTTAAAATTAATTATTTTATATATTTTTCACAAAAAAAAATTATAATATGTATGTATAATTATTAAAAGATGATACATGTGTATTTAAATTTAAATTTATTTAAAGTTGAAAATAATGTACGTTATAAAATTATTTAAAAAATACAATTAAAATACAAAAGCACGTTGCATAGGATGCAAATTACATAAAATATTATATTGATAGAATTCAAATTACATAAAACAAATTGCTTTAAAAAAAAAACAAATTACATTGATAAAATACAATTGCATAAAATATTAAAATACACTGATTTAATATGGAGGAATATCAGAATTTCCATCTCCACCAATATCATTGAAATATTGAAAAAACATATTCGAAGAAGACTGTGGATTTGATCCTGAAATTTCATTGTTCTTTTATTGTAAAATTTTATTTTTCTTGAGCCGATAATAAGCACGCTGAGCAGGACCAGAAATAGCATTCAAGTCCATATTCATAATTTTTTTCCTCGTGTGTCATTCTCTTAAATGCTAATTTTTTTTTCATTCTAGTTGCAAAAATTATTGTCTGTGCAAATTTGATTTTTGTAGTATTTTCACAACCATTGAATTTTGCTCTTTAACTTCACTAACATGAGCATCTTTTTGTCTTTATTTTTCTTCTGCTACTTTACTTTTTTTCACCCCATGGGGCGCTCATATGAAGACCCACCAACATTATAATTTAAATTTAACCCACTCTCATCATCGTCTAAGTTAACAAAAAATGATGAATTTCCAGGAGATTCAAAAGCAGTGTTATCTGACGATGATAATACATTAGTGGAATTATTTTGAAGTATTTTATATGGATTTCTAGTTTCATTGTGATCATTAAATTATGCAAAATCTTTTAACAAATTCCAAAAATGATCAAATTTAAAACCTTTTTTGAAACTTGCATCTTCCTTTTAAAACTTGTATCTTCCTTCGTTAGTATCTCATTTACTTGATTTAACTGCAACCAATATTTTAAGGTTACAAATAGAACTTTCAAGCTATATATATTAACAATAAATTTATGAAATAACTTACAATATTCATCTCTAAAGCTCCACTAGGTTTTAAAGTTTTTACTTTCTTGATACAAGCAAGTAACTTTCAAACAACTTTCTCCATGGCTTGGATCCGATTTTGTACAGATATTGCACTACGTATTTCCCAATCAAGATTTTTAATTTGATTGTATGCATAAGTGATTCGATTCCAAAATTGATCCATAGATTGGTGTCTTCCGGTAATTGGATCTTGCGAGATATCTAAATAATATTGGTATAGCACCACATCTTCATCATGACTATAACCACCACCTCAGATGGACATTTTGAGAAGAAATTTTAATAAACTTTTGTTATATTAGAATGAGAAGTTAGTGGTTTTGGTGCAATAATTCAAATAGTGGAAAGATATATTTATAGACAAATTTTGGATAGATATCAAATCTTATCCATTGAAAAACTTAATCTCAAACATTCATTTAGATTTCACAACACCCTAGCCATTGGATCAAAATACTTTTTTGACCAATCTCAATTATTTATATTATATTTGACTATACATATATATATATATACATACTATAACAATCTACTTATCTATATCAAAAGTAATCCGAACCGTTCGTTTGGATTTTATTTACATTTCATCCGTTGGATTGGATATCTATATTATCCAATCAATTATTATATATTATAAATTATAAAAATCCATTTATCCATGTCAGAGCAATCATAAGCGTTCATTTGGATTTCATCTTTATTTCATCCGTTGGATTGGATATCTATATTATCCAATCAATTATTATATATTATAAATTATAAAAATCCACTTATCCATGTCATAGCAATCATGAGCGTTAGTTTGGATTTCATCTTCATTTCATCCGTTGGATGAATATCTATATTATCCAAATAATTCTCATATACTTATATTTTATCTAAAATTTTTATTCTATAAATTATTGGGCATCCAACGAAGGTTTATTCATCAAACTTAGATTCACTTATCAAAACAATATTATTTTTTCAATATGAGTAACTCTTCATCGTCTGATGATGAAGAAGTGAGTAGAATTTTCATGGACTCATTTCAAAAGGATGAAACAGAAATCTCCATATTGATGCAAAATAATGCTTATTTGGAACAATCACTCAATCCCTCTCAATCAACCCATCGAAGCTCTATCCCAGGTCATCGAGTAATTAATCGTGATTGTGAAAGTTCATATCATAATTTATATAATGATTATTTTTCAAATAATCCTTTACATAATGAACAAATGTTTCGTCGGCGATTTTGAATGTCTCGAAGTTTGTTTCTTCGTATTGTTATGCGGTTAAAGATCATGATCCATATTTTCAACAACGGAGAGATGGTCTTTGTAGACTTGGCTTGTCAACCTTACAAAAGGTAACTGCTATTTTTAGGTGTTAGCATATGGTGTACCTGCAGATTTAACTGATGAGTACATTAAAATTGGTGAATCAACAACAATTGAAAGTGTTGAAAGATTTTTCCGTGCCGTGTTTGAAATTTTTTCAACTGAATATCTTCGACATTCTAATGCTAATGATATTGCAAGGTTGCTTCATATTGGATAATCTCGTGGTTTTCCGGGTAAGTTGGGCAGTTTAGATTGTATGCATTGGAAATGGAAAAACTATCTTACGACTTTCGCAGGTCAATATGCAGGTCGTAGTGGATCACAAACTATTATTCTCGAAGCTGTGGCTGATTATGATATTTGGATTTGGCATACATATTTTGGTATGCCATGTGCCAATAATGACATTAATTTTTTAGAATTTTCGCACTTGTTTTCAAATCTTGCTCTAGTATTGCTCCTCCCGCATATTATACCCTTCAAGGGAAAGAATATAATATGGAGTATTATCTAGTTGATTGTATTTATCCTAAGTGGGCTACGCTTGTGCAAACTATTTGTGATCCACGAGGTCAAAAAAAAAAGACTTTTTGCACAGAAACAAGAGTCTTGTAGAAAAAATGTTGAGCGTGCTTTCGGAGTTCTACAATCACGTTGGCATATAATTGCTGGAGTTGTTCGATTTTGGCCAAAAAAAAAAATGCTCTGCATGATATTATCATTGCTTGCATTAATATGCATAATATGATAAATAGAAGATGAACAAGATCTCAGTGCACATATCAGAGAAGTTTTAGAAACACCACCCACATCCGTGGAAATGGCAACCGATGAAACCATCCAACTTCAACAATTTCTTGCCCGACATAAACAAATTAGAGATAAAGATGCTCACTTTGCACTCCGTAATGATTTAATAGAGCATATATGAGAGCAATATAGTAACTCCACTGAATAAGTATTTCGTATTTTATTTGAACTATTATTGTAATATATGTTTTTTTAATAAATTGTTATGAAATAATAATATTACATTATCTTTGTTTAATTATTATATCATATTTGTCTTGATAGCATTTAATTATTTATTTAAAATTATTTTATTTGTAATAGTTATTAATTATAAATATTAATTTTCATATATGTAATTTTTAAATAAAATATAAATTATATGTGTATGAATCTAATGTAAAAATCAATTAAAATTGGGGTGTAATTTATAGATATGAAAAATTATATAAAATAAGAATACATAGAGAATATATTTTTAAAGTAAAAATTGAAGTTTATGATTGAAATAAAATTATTATAGATCATTTTTACGTAGCAATCGCAAAAATGGCATTGTGCATGCATATATCATACGGGAGCAAGCCGAGGGAGAAAAACAACTAGTGTCCCCATTGCCAATATTTCTATTTCTATATCTATTTCTTGTCCAGAACTCAAACACAATCAAACCAACCAATTTTAATTCAAAAATTGAATCAATAAGATTATAATCAATTGATTCATAATTTGACATTACATGATTGACAGACAGACAGACAGATATATACCACATTAATACAAGAATTTACCAACCAATTTGAGGCCATGGATGATTAATATTTGTAAATGGATGACAACTTTATGGATGGGATGGGATGGGATCATGAATTGAATTAATATTTTGGGGACGAAGGCATGGGGGAACTCGGTGGCTTCAAATCTTCATACCTGCAGAACATATCCATTCATTCGTTCATACCAAAAAACAACTATATATAAGTAATAAGTTAGTACTAGTCAGTCTCACATGAAATAAGGTGAAAGAGGTTTGGTTTTCGGTTCAGGCTTCTCATTCACCATCGTTGTTGGTCTGTTGTCTCCCGACAAAATTGGTGCACTCGGAGTTGGCGATGTGGGGGGCTTCAAGTCTTCGTACCTGCAGCTCCTCGAAACAACAACAAACATATCCATTCATTCACTCATACCAAAAAATAATAATGCAAAACAGCCTATAACTTCCCTCTAGTTTTGAAACTCAGCATAAATTTTCTTCTACTTAAAAAATCGTATAGTGCTTCCTTATACTTTAAAAATTGTTGCATGAACCCCTTTTTATATTTTTTTGTGTGATGAGAAGATGATTTTTTATCTACACTTTTTTCCATGGAGGGGGTTTCATGCAACGTTTTTAAAGTATAAAGGGAGTCATACAATTTTTAAAGTATAAGGAGAATTTACGCTGAATTTCGAAACCATGAGTAGTTTTGCCTATATATATATATATATATAACTACTTAACTAGTAAGTAAGTACTAGTAAATCTCACATGAAATAAGGTGAAAGGGGTTTGGTTTTCGGTTCAGGCTTGTCATTCACCGTCGTTGTCGGTTTGTTGTTTCCCGAAAAAGTTGGTGCACTCGGAGTTGGCGTTGTGGGGGGCTTCAAGTCTTCATACCTGCAGCTCCTCAAAACTCATTTACTCATACCAAAAAACAACTATATATATGTATATAACTAGAAAGTAAGTACTAGTTAGTCTCACATGAAATACGGTGAAAGGAGTTTGGTTTTCGGTTCAGGCTTCTCATTTACCGTCACCGTCGGTTTGTTGTTTCCCGAAAAAATTGGTGCACTCGGAGTTGGCGATGTGGGGGGCTTCAAGTCTTCGTACCTTTATTACAAAAACACAACAACACATTTCAGATGCATACTTCCTTCAACAACGTAACGAACATGTGTCATCGATGGATACTCACACAACAAATGGAGATTGTGCTGATGTTGCCTTTGCTGTTGCTGCAATTGTCGTCTTAGTCTCATCCACTTTACTCTCTTCCACAGCCTGCAATACACGAAATGTAACACTATCTATCGAATTATCATCTTATATATTTAAAACCATAGAATCACCAGGCATGCTTTTCATATGTGTTACTTCACTTGTAATTTTTCTATTTAATATTACCTTCTGAGTGGGAATTTCTCCTCCCTTAGATGGTATCTTCTTTAGTAGCTCATCAAAGGGTGTCAAAGGGGCCGTAGTTTCTGCCACCACTTCAACAATTTTAAAGCATGAAAGGTGTCGATTTTTGGCCATGAAAGCCATCAACTCAGCTACCTATTATTGATCAGCACATAAGGGAACATCATACATGTCAAGTTGGTGTTCTAAGCAGAGCATTATAATAGTATAAAGATAACCTGCAGATTGGACACCAGGCCACCAAACAATGTATCCTCCTCCGACAAGGTTAAGTTGTGAGTTTCTTTGAAGGAATCAGTTGGGCGCTCCATTCCCCCGGGCCTCACTATCTGCAAATTAAAAGCTATTGGGAGAAGGATAAACAACATAACATCTATCTTCATTCATTGCCCATTGTTCATTGGTGTGGAAAACATATATAGTACTTTTACATAGTTAGCATACTATAGTGTTTCGCACAAAATGAATATAATTCTTATTCAGTCTATTAACTATTTTGATTAACACAAGAAGGATGAATTATTCAACAAAGTTCATATCAAGTATTCTATATATGTAAATCAAATACAAATACTTCCCTTAAATTTTTATAAGTCATCGAAATAATATTTCATATCCCTTTCAATGGAACTCGATTTCAATCTAATAAACTCACCGTGTAAGGAAGGCCACTAGCAAGAAGCGCTTCTTCGGCCTTCCTTTTCCAACATAGAACTCCCCAAAACAAACTATATTTTCTCAGATCAAACACCGAAAATAAGACAGTGCAACTGTACAAGCAGTTAAGATTAGAACAGAAGAGAAACAAAATGCTTCGCCTTACTTCAAGATAGCAGCTGGAAATCCAAATTTGTTCGTCCCCAGAGAGGTGACCAAAATGAACTGATCAACTTTTGCAGAAGTTGCTGTGCGCCCAAAGTGTTACAGGGATAAACTCAGCATCGAACCATAGATGACACAAACTTTCATTACATGAGAAGCCATAAACTAATAATAGATTATACAGGGACTCAGCTTGCCTGCATCAATCAGATTTTTGGTTGCTTGGTAATCAATTCTGTATGGTCCGGTTACATCGAAAACCTCTTTCTCACTGGCACCAATGGAACATATCACCGTGGATGAATTGCCTAGAGCTGGTAGAATCTCGGCTGGTTTCTCGAGGTCACATTCCACTAGCTCCAGCATATCTATGGCTGGGCTAAAGATGCATATACCGATCAGCAAAACATTATTACAGTATCCCAACTTCATAGTATATATATATATATATACATACATGCCCCTTTTTTAGTCGTATGGTTTTGAGTCTGCAGCATGTGACTCTTACTCAGGGGAGAAGATGGACACAAAACTTTTAATGTGGCACCACAAGTGTGTCGAAGTACTAACTTAACTTCATGTTATGTCAATTACAATGGATCAAAAAGCTATATAATCTTACGGTTATTGCCTCCGACATCCTCAGACTTCATGTCCTTAACGCTCTGTGGAGAGAAAAGAATTGGTTTAATAATGGGGTTTGTCAAATGGAATCTTTACATTGAAAATGGAAAGCAAAGTGACTGGATAGCCATACTTTCACAAGAGGTTCAGCTTTCTGAGTACTTCGAACACCTGCTCGAACTCTAAATCCTAACTTCAACAGCTCCCTAGACAAACCAGGCCCGGCTATTAAGCATAACATTAGGTAAAAGAAATTGATAGTACACTACCTTACAGTTCGTGATCCAACTCTACCGGTAGCACCAGCTACAAACACAAGTTTCTCATCTTTATTCCCAACATCACTCGAAGTAGCATCTAGTGTTGTTGATGACTTGATTTTCATAGAACCTTAAAGGAGTAAAGAATATGATAAATAGGATTACGGGGATATATATATATATATATACTCACATTATACACCACCATATAAGCATTGTCGACACCACAAAGTACAAATTCTATGACAATTTGACACTGTTGTTTACTACACTTGAAATGATGAAGTTCCATGAGGCTCTGTTACATACAAATAATGCAAAAACTGTCTTTTGTAAGTTAAATCACCGTGTCTTTTTCCTGTTATACAAAAGAATCTCCTGCTTATAGCATAATTATGAAAGGCATTCCAACTTACCATCATCCATTCATCCTCCTTTCAAGATAATGAGATTTATAGATAAGGATGGGCTTAAGCTGACTTACGCTAACTAAAAATTTAGACAAGATCTCGGTCATGTTTAACGCAGAGAACATATAACTACAAAGATCTTACATTTTGCACATTGATTTGGAGAGTAACACTAAATAATTTGCAAATTAAATCAATTTAAGGATAAAATTAAATATCGCAATCGTGATAAAGTCTGAATGAGATCTATGCATCCCTAAATATGAAGTACGAGTATTTCCATGGCAGGGACCCCAAATCAGTTCCGCGTACAGAATACAATGAACCAGCATTGCAAAACAAAAAAGAAAAAGAAAGAACAGAAATAAAAAAAAAAAAAAAAAACAGATCATATTCCAAAAGCCCAAAATTCCCAAACCAAGTAAACTCCAATTCCAAAGGGGAAAAATTAGTTAGGAATTGAAAGAAGAAATAGGAAGACATATATATATATACCTGATGGTCGAACATTATGACTCTTAAATCTAAGCGTTGGGGCAATAGTGGAAAACTGCATTCCTGTGTGCCCACGTAGGAATAGCGTCTTCTCCATTAACCGACTAGGCGGAATCCTGCTTAATGTAGGAGACTGAATGCAGCGGACCTCCATTGCAGCTCACTAGTTTCCTGAGCTAGCTAGATTGTAAATAAAATAAAATTGGAGATATGTATATGATCCATAACCAACGAATGCTCCTGGTCCTGGATAATCCCCTGTGGCGCGATCGCGCTAGATTCGAAGAAAATTGCTGCCACATGTTTTTTTAACTGTACGTTTGTATTCGGTTTGCAAAAGTGGAATATTTTAAGGGCCCATGAACCAACCACCCGAGATCAGAATATATGAACGCACATCTACACACGGACTTCTGTTGTTTTGTGTTTCCCGTAATGTCAATAATTGATAATATATTTATATTGGGATTAAAATTGATGAATTTTTATTATATTAAGATAAAAATAATTTTTTTTTTAATTTTTAAAATATGAGTGTATTCAATAAAGACTTTTAAAAGTGTTTTAAAAATCTGGACGTATTCAAATAAAGACTTTTAAAAATATTTTAAAATTTTGACGTATAAAATCTTTGTTAATAAATATATATTTTGATGAATTTTTAAAATTATTATTATTGTTGTATACGTGATAAATGATATGATAATATTTTTTAATATTATTAAAATTTATTTTTAATAAAAATAATAATTTCAAATTATTATTTATTATCATTTTTCTGAAAATATATATTTTTATATCATAAATATAATATTTAAATAATATTACTATCATAATAAATATATATTATTGTTGTCTTTTCTTTTTAAGTATTAAATACAATATATTGTCATTCAAATGTGGTTCTTCCTTTTCAATTATCAAATACACGGTATTATCATATTGGTGAGAGTGGAATAAATATTTTTTTTTTTGTTGAACCGTTAATTTATATTTATTTACTTTTTTATTTTAATATTTATTTCAAAAATCGTAAATTATATTGTTTTACTTTATTTATATATATATTTATTTTTTATGTAAAAAATTATATAAATAATAATAATAACTAATAAAAAATATACAAATAATTTCATATATTGAATAATAATATAATACTAAAAACTATAAAATAAAATATATTAATATACAATATAGTAGTGTTATACCATATGCTATAATATTTTTTTACATTATTAATAATTATATATTATTTATTTATTTATTTATTTTATAAAAAGATAATAATATATAATAAAGTTAATTATAAATATATTATATTTATAAAATATATGTTTAACAATCCTATAAAATTTATATAAATCCAAAAGAATTCAATCAAATCTGTAAAAATCTTTCTAAATAAATTATTAAAATTCATCAAACTTAGGGGGTGTATTCAAGACTCCGTAAAATTTTGTTGGACTTTCAAAATCTGGGATATTCAATCTAGATTTTTAAAAGTCTTTTAAAATCTATAGGTATTCAATCTAAACTTTTAAAAGTCTTACTTTCAAAGTCTATGGCAAGGTGAATTTCAAACCAGATTTTCATATTGAAGAGTGTGGTATGAACTATACACGTTCACAAATTGAGGACAGGTTGTTGGGGTTAGCTCACCCTCGCGGGATCGCGACCCTTTGTCCCGGCCTTTGTAGCCCGTGTGTCGCCCAAGGCATTTTAATAGATTTTAATGGAAAAATATAAAAATTTTGTATATGATAGAATATTTCCTGATCACCAGAAATTTTGATAAAATTTTAAAATTATTATTATTATTATTATTATTGGTGTTGCTCCTGTTGTTAATGTAATAAATAATATGATAATATTATTAATATTATTATTATAATTTTAATAAAAATAATAATTTAAAACTAAAATATATTAGCAAATTATTATGAATTTTTTTAAATATTTATTTTTATATTATAAATATAATTTTAAAAACTATTATTATCATAACAAATATGTATTATTGTGGTCTTTTCTTTTCAATTATCAAATATAATATATTGTCATTTATTTATATTTGTATTAAAATTAATTAGTTTTATAATTAAAAATAAATAAAATGTATCAATATTTATATTATTACCTAAAGAATAAAATTTTAGATAATATAAAATATAAAAAATACAAAAAACTAAATATAATATCAATAAATACTATATAAACTTTTTTTAAAAAGTAAAATTTATTGAGTATCTCTGCAAAAATATCCAAGAGATTTTTACAATTTTGTTTTTAATATATATATATGCTTGCTAGGATTCTAGCTGAGGAGGGAGGAGAATCTCTGCAGTAGAGATCCCCTCGGTTGGTCTTACAATCTTATTTTTTATTAATTCTTTTAATCGAAATTGTTATAATCTTATTGTCTATCTACTAGTCATGTTGTTTGAAGCACTTTTAAGATTGTTTTTGGTTGGGTTTTTTAGATTTTTTTAATTAAGTTTTAATAATTTTTCGATTTGATAAAAATATATATAAACGTGATATTTTGAATATAAAATTAATTTAGTTTCAACAATTAATATCCGAGTCTTTTGCACGTTGAATTATTGAAATATTTTATTAGATAAATTAATTGAAATCAGATTTGGCTCTATGCGAATTTAATCCTGCATATTGTTGCGTCCGGTTGATTTCAATATTTGTGCGAAATTCGATCATGCGTCGATTTAACTATCTGTTTTCAATTTTAGAAGTTGGTTATATATATTTGGTTCGTGTGCAATTAGATATATATATTGCAATTATTTTTATCTGTTTTATATATATTTGGTTCGTGTGCAATTAGATATATATATTGCAATTATTTTTATCTGTTTTATATATATATTTGGTTCGTGTGCAATTAGATATATATTGTGTATAAAGGGGTATTTGGCAAATAGCTTTTTGAAGAGCTTTTAGCTTATTGAACAGTTTTTAGTTGTTTGACCGGTCAAAAAGCTAATTTAGATGTTTGGTAAATTAGCTTTTTGGAATAGCTTTTTGGACCAAAAAAGCTAATTTCTAAAAAGTTAATTTATTCAACGTTTTGAAATAGCTTTTTTTTGTAAAAAAGTTTTTATTTCTTATATGCCCTTAAAAATTTATAATGTATTTTACACAAATAAATATATTTTTATTATTTATTAATTATATTATAATATTTTATTATATTATAGTTTTACTTTTATAAATTTAAAATAATTAATTTTTATATAAAAATTATTTTAATTGTAAAATATATAAATTTATTAAAATCAACGTAAAATAGAAAATATAAATATTAATAATTTATTTTTATATTAAAATTACATTATATAAATTTTATACTAAAAATAAATTAAATTTATTGAAAATTATAAATATAATGAACTAATCGATAACTAACATAATAAATATATACACGAAAAATTTATTATTTTATATTTTACATCATTTTCAATAGAAAAACTATTTATATATTTTTTAATAAAAATATATTATTTTTTAAATCTAACTGTAATAAAAATAAATACTTTTATAACATTTTTACAATTTTTAATAACTAATAACAAAATATTTTTAATATTCTAAACTCAAAAGAACATAATTGAATATATTAAAAACAAAAATAAAATAAAAATGTCCTCAATTGTCATTTTACGTATAAACAACTAATATCAAACAGTTGTTTTACCAAACATTTTAATACAAAAAGCTAATCAAATCAGCTAGTCAAACCAGCTAATTGAATCAGCTAACAACTATCAGCTAATTGCCAAACACGCCCTATATTTATTTGTTTGACTGTCGGTTTCAATGATTTTGATACCTAGTTAGATTAATTAATTTTGTAATCTAATAATTGATTGGTGTATAACTAAAACAACTGCAGCAGTGGTAGCACGTGCCACCACTAATTTTATCACACTAAAAGAAATTTTTTATAATTAAATAATTGTGCTACCACTAAAAAGTTTGAGTGTCCCCACTTAAAATTTGAATGTCATTATTATCCAAAAATATTTTAGTGGATTATTTAAAATTTAAACAGTCATGAGTATCCAAATAATTAAAATACAATCCAATAAAAATAATCAATTTATATTTAAAATATATATATAATAGTATTATAATATTATTTTCTATATCATTAATAATAATTTATTTCTATAAATATTAATATTATTATTTTAATATATATTTTTTAATATATCTATTGTGCCACCAATAAATTTTTTTTTCTAAATCCGTCTCTGCGTGATTGTTCTTGAAATCGTATTAAGATATGAGCGGCTGTCATTCATTTATTATTATAATTTCTTGAAATAATTTGTGGAATTTGAATTATTCTCAAATGTTTAAAAAATAATTTGCTTCAATTGAAAATTTCATTTGTATTGAACACGTATGATTAAATTGATTATTTAAGTGTAGAATGATATGTGTGTGAATAAGGGCGCAATTATGACCATGCAATCTGGGTGTTTATTTATTCATCTATTCATCTATTTAAGGGCAAATCAATTGATTAAACATGCATCCATATTAATGAGTGTGCAATTAGAGTTGGACTTGCACGTTCATATATGATAGTTGTTAGTTTAGTTTATTTATTTAATTTTGATTAAAATAATTTTGCAATTTGGCAATATATAATTGTGAATATTTATATGCAACTATGACTATGCATCTCTAATCAGTTTATGGAATTACACGGATCAATTTATTTGATATTTGTATCAATATAGTGTTCTGATTTAAACAGTTGATTTATAAACATAATTGTGAATTCATTCTGATCCGTTTGATGATCGGTTAAATTTGAGATACAGTAGCATATGTTTTTTACATTATGTATTTGTTCAAATTCGACTATAATTACTTAATATATATTAATTTATAGTATATTTGGGTGGCATGTTTGTTATTTGTATAGTTTCGTTGCATCTAGTACTTTTTTGGACTACTAAATTATTTTAATGAGTTCAGAAATTAATTGTTGTTGCTAAAAATTTTCATTTGTATCCGATTTTCTTTAAGGTGAAATTAATTAGTAATAAATAATATAATATATTTTATAAATTGGTTGAAACAATTATGCTGTCAAAGCTCAGTTTATTTTATATATTAAAAGATTGTCTGTGTGACTCATAAGGATGATGATTGACCCAAAGGCAAGTCAACGATTAAGTAGTTACATA